CTAGAAAAATAAAATATATAGAATTATACATACATTATGATGACAACCTTGCAAGAAATATAAATATGAAAAATGCTGGAAAGAATTCCACCAAAATGAGAATAATTGTTGAATTAGCAGGTGTGATTTTAAGCTTTTTTCTATTTTCCTTTTCTTATTTTTTATGATTTGAATCCTACTGAAAACATTAACTTTTAAAGTTCGCCATCTAAACATTTTCAAATTAAAGCAGATGTATGAGGCAACAGGAGATGGAAGTGTCTGTATGTGAATCTCTCCTTGAAATGTATAACTTCCCCCTGTGAATGAGCAGGTGGGCATCCTTGTAACCCACTGATAACTGCAGCTTCTTCATGGTAAAATCTGATGGAGGATGAAACCCAACATCCAAAGAATCTGAGACAGATGTTTGAGAATATCAAGCACAAGTAGTTATAAACACTGCAGTTGAACAACGGATTTGGAATTGTAAGCTCTTTTAGTCAGGTGTGGAAACTTTACCATTCTTTAGGTCTCTGGGTAAAACAATGACTTTTCAAGAGCAAGTTGAATGAGACCAGGGTCGATGATTCTAATCACTTCTCTGACATTTCTGACACTGACATGTTGTTAGTTTGGGGATAAATTGGTTGAGTTCCCGTGCCTCAGTTTCTCCAGATGTTCAACAGTGATAACAATGTCAGCCCATGGGATGGGGTAAGAAGGGCACCATAAGGAAGACAGACACAGAGATTGTTTCGCTTTTTTCACCTCTCTGAAAGCTAACCTCGAAAAGAAGAAACTGTTTTCTACCCCTTCTGAGCAAGGAAGACTAAATCACTTCTAGTTACAGCAAGAGTTATTCAGGTTACATTATAGTTAACTCCTTCCAAGCAGAAAGAATAGCTGTTGGCAGTTGTGGAATTTCCTTTTCTGGAGATTTGTAACAATAGGTTCGATATACATCTAGCCTTGAATGCCTTAGGCACTGTGTAAACAGAAACAGTGAACAAAAATAGCACGCACACACAACACCCCGGTGCATCCTTGTTATTCTCTCTCAGATTTTAATAGATAGAGATTTAAGAACAGTTTACATCGTTCCCTCCATCCCCTGCTGAACCACATTAGTCTCAGGAGAAACTGAGAAAGTTGACCAAAAGTGACTTACCTGTACTAGGAGTTCCAGCTTCCTGTCATCAAGGAGATGTACTTGACATCGACGGCCCTCCGTCATCTAAGAAGGAAGAGAAATGAGGTCACTGAGGGTCTAG